AGTGGTCATAATAATAAAAATAGCTATAATTTGCATATTAAAATTGGCGGAATAAAATTATTAAAAGTTATCTAATAAATTGAATTTCTTTTTACGCTAAAATTTCTAACCACTAGCTCAAGATGAATCAAGTTATCACTTGTAGCTCGAGACAATCGAAATCGTTTACTTATACATTACATAAAGTATCAGGTGAAACATCCAGTCTACCATAAAGAGTAATCCGAGTGATAATGTAGTAACAAGTAGCTGAATTTTCACTCTATTATTTAGATAATAAATATAATTAAATAACTGCCGGTGAATAGTTAGTAAACAGGTAATTTATTTTTATACGACATTCAAATTCATTATATTACAATGAACCGTACTTATTAATTACTATGTATAGTATAAATATACTTCGTTTATACCTTATTTAAATTGGCATTATTTTAATGCAATCATTAACCATTTTTTAGTCTAAAAACTACCAAGTTAATTGTCAGCGCTCTCTAATCTCTAACAGTATATTTATATTTCCTCGTTAAATGTATTTAGCGAGACATCGTTAAATAACTTTATTTATGTAGTAGGAGATTAACAATAATCGTTTATCCTTTAGGAAAAAAATTTACAATGATTACTCGCTCATTAGCCGGTTATTAATGAAGGGAAGTTGATAAAATGAATCTTTGAGATTGACGTAAGAATTTAATGTATTTATTAAGTAAAATGAGTTAGTTTTATTGTTACTTTGATCTAAAATTTTTTTTATTATTTATTTATCTAATATTAACCGGAGGTTATTTTTATAATTATCATTATCTAATATCTTGTAATAAATGTAATAAATAGTTGCTCGATAATTTTCTAAAAGTATTAAAAAGAAAGTGACAATAAAAAAAAAAGTGATTGTCTATATCGGAAACTTGGAATTTTATTTGATTTGAAATTACCGCAATTATATTTTTTATATATACTTAGATATTTTATTTAGTTTTTATCTCGGGAGATTATAAAATTATCGTTAACGTTTTATAGTTACAAAACAATTTAAAAAACCTCGGGTCGAAGAATTATTTTAAATTATTTCACTAAACCGAATTTTAGTATTAAGTAGTAAGCATTAAGTATACAGTTAAAGTGATGGGTGATGAAACGCCAAGTGTTATGAAAAAATACATTATTTCTATTGTTTTAAAAGTGTTTCTTAATAGCGCCACTCGAGTAATTCATTAATAGAGAGTAGGAAAAATTTTATGTTAAATTAAATTGACATAAAGACCATTATAACTTACAACTTATAAGTTATTATAAACACGTCCCACTAACCCGCTTTAATCTGCAGCATAATCTTCCTTTTCTAAAGCATTACATTTGCACATTTTGCTGATGACGAGAAAATTGTTTAATTTTTTTTTTTCCTTTTTTATTTCAAATTTAAATTTCTTCTTAACTAATAGAGAATGTTGGTTTAAATATTCATTAATGTTATTTATTGTACGTAAACATTTAGAAATTTCTTTGCTTGCAATATTGTAAATTTTTTTTTATAATTTATTAAGTGTTTAACATTATAATGGAAACAAAACTATCAAATAATCACCTACAATTCAAACATTAAAATATCGTCGAAAGTAAAATTTTGTTTGAAAAATTATGATTTCATTGTTTCTAATTTTTAATTTTCTGAAGAATTTTTTTAAGTAGGGGAGCCTGGGGCACGACGGCCACCTTAAGCCGATTTTTCTTTTTTGTGGCTTTCAACTATCAAATTCCTTTATTTTCCATCTATTTCAAACGAATCAGTCGAAAATTTGCAAAAAATCGAAAAAAAAAATTTTTTTTCTGGGGCACGACGGCCCCCTCCCCAAAAAATCATATAAAAAAAAAATTTTTTTCACTAAAGCTATTACCATCAAAATCTAGAAATTCTCCTCCCAAAAAACGTCGCCGAGGGAAAACCACGATTCTTACGAGTCTTGAGTATTGCCGAGAACTCACAGAAAAAAAAATCAACATGAAGAAAAAAAAACGACCTCAATTAAACAAAAAAATAAGAATAAACAAAATAAGATCAAAACCAAAAAATTTGAAAAAAAAAAAAACATTTTAAATATAAAAATGACGATTGCCATTGTCTGTATTGCAATGGACTTTCCTCAGAGTCCTCAGAGTCATATGGATTCAAATTAAAAATTGTAATAAATAGTCTTATGATTCTCGCGAAAGAATTGGCGAAGATTATTCTGAAGAATATATTTGTGATCATTGCAAATAATTGTATATTCCTTAAAGTAT